TACTTCAAGACACTCAGCGATTGGTACGGTTGCAGGAATTGTCCTTGTATGCGCCTTATGGGACTCCAACTCCGGGTTTGAATTCAGAGTTTCCTTCTCCTTAGATGAGTTGCCGACCAAGGTTATCGAGTCTCATCCACCCGGGGTGATGTTTTTGCTTGACCTGGCCTTTGGCTCCAGACCACCAATTTGAGGTTTGCTTAGTTTAGACCATTTGGCCACCCAGTCACTCATATTAGCTACGCCTCTAGGAAGTGTATCTATCGGTCAACAAAATAAGTGATCATTTTCTTTTGGGTGTAGGGTAGAAATTGAGGGGCCCGATGAATCTTCTTTTGATTTATATAAATTTATATAAATGAAAGATCATAAAGGTTAACTCAGCCAACCAATACCACATATCTCTGGTTGGATATGCTCTGGAAGAAGTGGAGGCTTTTACATACTTAGGCAGCACCATTGACTTAAGTGGGGGATCCGATGCGGATGTCGGGACTAGAACTGGAAAGGCTATGTCAGCATTCGTACTATTAAGGAAAATATGTGAGTCAAAAGAGCCTACTCTTCAAACCAAAGCCACAGAATTTTCAACACAAATGTCAAAACAGTTCTACTCTTTGGAGCCAAATCTTGGAGAACAACGGTGAGTATTACGCAGAAAGTACAGATCTTCATTAACACTTGCCTTAGAAAAAATCCTGAACATCAACTGGCCAAACAGCATCACTAACAAAGTCTTACTAGACAGGACATACCAAGGAGCGTTCATGCCGAAAAGATGAAAGGTGGATGAGGCACACTCTCCGCAAAGCCCCAGATAACATCACCACAGAAATCCCTAACATGAAATCCACAGGGGAAAAATGATAAGATGGCCAAATACTACATAGAGATCCGTGCTAGAGGCAGACACACAAAAATATTGGATATACCTGGAAGCAACTAGAAAGGAAAGCAAAGTTTCGAGATGAAAAGAAAATTCTTGTAGACGGGGGTCAAAGGCATAAATAAGCAAGTAAGATGAATCGTGAGCGATGGAGGAGTCTGCGCAGCCTTCTTCACAGAATTTATTTTATTATTTCCAAATCAAGTGGTGTATTTTGTAATGTAGTTGAATTGAATTCAATGTTTCTATTAGACTTTTGGATCAAGGGATGGACATTTTTAAGTGTCTGTGTGGGTTCATTATGGTGCCACTGCCATTCATAAAATGATTTCACTCGACCTGTGTCTTACAAACCCAACAATAATAGTTTAATTTTTTTTTAAATAAACCCAACATCTCACACCTTTCCGGGTACGATTAGTCACTTCGTAATCGAATTTCTAGTTCAGAAAAATCCTTTTTTTGTTTTAGGTTTCTGATAGCTTCTCGTTTTGAAAAAAAAATATCGTTAGAAAAAAATTCCTTTCAAAATAGAACGGCCAGTTTTTTTTTTAAATTATTCTAATATCAAAAAGACAAAAGTTGCTATTGCTCCAGTTATTGTCAACCCCTGAGTTTGGCGTCACAATCAGTTGACCGTGCGAGAAAGGCCACACCAAGCCAAATTAACAGTAGTCAAAGTAAAATGTCAAGATTCGTTGCAGTTTGTTTTGTTTTTGTTTTTGTTTTTTTTGAAGTAAAGTAATCTAGAAGCACGGTAGGCCTTCAATTAAAACAATTGCTGAATGGTTCTCAAAATAATTTTTAAAAGCTACACCATCACCACCCCCCACCCCCACCCCCCCGCACCCAAAACAAACACACACACACACACACAATTTAATTTAAAAAGATAATAAACGAACAAAGAAAGAAAGGAAGAAAAAAAAAGGAGAAGAAAAATATAACAAACGAAAACGAACAAATAAAATAATAATAACATTCAGTAATAACGACTACATATCCATAAATAGCATTACATTTTCATCAATTCATAAGATAACATTTGTCATAAATTGATAAGATAACATAACATTTGTCATAAATTTATAAGATAACCCTACATTTGTCATACATTCCAAAGCAAATTATTTGATGAAATTTGATTTGATTTCCCCAATTAAAAAATGACAACAAGACAAACATTTGTTTGATAGAAGATGAACTGGTAGCTGGTAGGCTATTTCAATGTTTAACAGCTGAATGATACAGGCCTTAGTGTTTGAGAACGTCCAGTTCAGGTGGAAGTACATGTAGGCGCCTAGCATTACGCTACATTCTATGGCCCACATAGCCCGACGCTAGACATAAACTTGACATGTCAGTGATGTCTGAGTTGGGTGTTCATACAATGATTACGTGGACCTAACCAATATAAACGGTCAGGTGGACCTAACCGAGCCAACAGCAAAGGGAATGAATCAAGTATTGACCTTTAGGACTTGGATCTGCGAGACCGCTAACACAAAAATTGATTGATGGGTCGCTTCACGTTCAACCTCGTTCTGCATGAGTGGCTCCAGGAACATCAGTCACATCGACTGGTGGGTTAATGCCTCCCTGACTTGATGCCAGGTGAAATTTTAGGAAGGTCGCTCAGAACTTCGGTACAAACGACCTAGATCGCTCGGTGCTGGCGACCTACCACTTGAGGTAAATAATTGTGTAGCCCCCAGAGATTGAATAGAGCAGATGATTTTGTAAACAGTGTCACGTGACAAGGAAAGTACTAAGGAATGTCGGTCAATGCGTCTCCGATGGAATAAATAGTGTCGTATTAACATTTCTTGGTTGATGTTAATGAAAAAAACAAACAAAAAAAAGCATCACATTTTCTAGATAACCAGTTTACAACTGACACTGCATGTCACTGACCACTACTGCCACTGACCCCTACAATCCCGCGTTATAGACGACATCATCAAAATGTCATCAGAAAGATGTCGCTGCCACTTACGTCATGTAGCGACCATCACGGTGACGCCTAACCATCTCTTAAAACTGAATTAAAAAAGGAAGATTTTAAAAAACTCTAATAACTTGTGTAAAATTAAAATGCTTTCTGAAAATGTGAGAGTGGGGCTTAATTCCTCGGGCTGGGCCAACAACTCCCTTCCCCAACCCCTACCCCCAAACCCCAAATTGATTTGAGAGGGCTTCTGTCAGAGATAATCATCGTGAACACGAAAACAATATATAAACAAATGAGAAAAACCGAATTGTCGATGTAGTGAAACCAGACCAGTGATATGAAACAATTTTCTGAGTAAATAGATGAATCAAATCTCTATCGTAAATCAACGTAAATCGCAGATGGGAAGAAATGCTGGATATCAATCTAATTATTTAAACATGTTCATCTTTTCGTATATCTGTATCGATATTTCTCTGAGAGAATGCTCCCTGTGGACATGATTTCAAAGCTAAGAGGGAAATGTAAATAAGATTTTCTGAGCTTTTATTGATAAACAAGAAGTTGAAAATAACCTATGGCTAATATCCCCCATTTTAATGTCAGCGAAAGAAATCATTGCCTCGAAATATGTATGTCCCTGCTAACCAGGAGTATCTTTGGGACAGGTTTACGTCACAACCAACATTTAACTGCAGGATGCTGTGTCCCCGTCCTATTTCAACTCCGACCTCCTTCATTTGCGCAAATGCTTGCTGCACCACCAGCTTTCCATACCGTGGATAATGTCTCACTGTCAGCACTCCTTACTGTGGCAGGTTGTTCTGTGGAAGTAAGTACATAGGTACTCGGTGTCAGGTGGTGCATGAATATTTGAAAATGGTTTGTAAACAAATGTTCCGTGGCGGATTTAGGCCGGGTGGTGGTTAGGTCTTTCAGCCTTCCAAAATGATATCTCCATACGACGTACAGGCAAGGAGACATTACGATTTTTAAAAAAAAAAAAAAGATTTTATCATTTTAAATGTTTTCCAAATTCTTTTCAAAGTAAGAAATATTAAAGAATATATTATATATATAAAAATATATATATATATATATACATATATATATACATACTATAATATAAAAATTGAACAAAATATGTTTAAAATGATATCTCCATAAGACGTACAAGAAAAGAGACATTACGATTTTTAAAAAAAAAAAAAAGATTTTATCATTTTAAATGTTTTCCAAATTCTTTTCAAAGTAAGAAATATTAAAGAATATATTATATATATAGAAATATATATATATATATAGACATATATATAGACATACTATAATATAAAAATTGAACAAAATATGTTTCACGTCGGTGTCATCTTTGATCAAATCAGAATAGAACATACTGTCCACACTTTCCACGCTGTCCACACTGTCCATACTGTCCAAACTGTCCACACTGTCCCTACTGTCCACACTGTCCACACTGTCCACACTGTCCACACTGTCTATACTGTCCATACTGTCCATACTGTCCACACTGTTCACACTGTCCACACTTTCCATACTGTCCATACTGTCCATACTGTCCACACTGTCCACACTGTCCACACTGTCCATACTGTCCATACTGTCCACACTGTCCATACTGTCCACACTGTCCATACTGTCCATACTGTCCATACTGTCCATACTGTCCATACTGTCCATACTGTCCATACTGTCCATACTGACCATACTGTCCATACTGTGCATACTGACCATACTGTCCATACTGTCCATACTGACCATACTGTCCATACTGTCCATACTGTCCATACTGTCCATACTGTCCATACTGTCCATACTGTCCATACTGACCATACTGACCTGTCCATACTGTCCATACTGTCCATACTGTCCATACTGTCCATACTGTCCATACTGTCCATACTGTCCATACTGTCCATACTGTCCATACTGTCCATACTGTCCATACTGTCCATACTGTCCATACTGACCATACTGTCCATACTGACCATACTGTCCATACTGACCATACTGTTCATACTTGCTTTAGGTTTTGTGGATTGCATAATGTTACAGCCCGAATTCACGTGTCAGCTATACTGATCACGTGTTTTGTAAGAGAGACCCTGACAAAAATAACGTTACAGCTTTCTGCCTCGTCAAGCCCGAGATTTGGTTGAATGGATCTACTTGTGAGACCACGGGGCTATATAATAGAGCCCCACCACTAAAGACAGGTACGGAATAATTTGAAATTCACCCCAGTTGAGGTAAGTTTAAACTTTGGTCCCTGTGTGTGTTCGTCGGGTTCTTTGGTTTTTCTTAAAGACAGTTTTGCTTTATGCGTTTTCAAGTTTGAACTGTGTTTCAAGAGGCTAAGAAATTGCATTATAAATGTGACCTGCCGAGTTTATTGACATAGAAAATAACTGGTTGAACATTCTTAACAAAGAACCAATAAACTAAAATAGAAAAATATTACTTAAAAAAATGAGAGTTTTGCTCTTGTTAGAATCTCTGCTAACCATGGAAGGCACTTCTAACCCACTTTGGTTGATAACCGCACATTATGAAAATTTCCTTTAAAAAAACAACACAAAAAACACAAAGACAGTAGTATTAGTCCGAAATTAATTGTTTAACCAAAGTTAGATAAAGATTATATATATATATATGATATTTATATTTGTATTTATTTGTGAATGAAAACACAAATTATATTTTATGGCTGTGTTCTTCGTATCTAGAACGTGCATCTGTTTGGCTCAAAGAAGAGGCTTAACACCACTGTTGCTAAAAGAAAAAAGAAATAAATACTTTAGCCCTTAGCTAATGTTCTCAGCATCAACAGAATACTTTTATACGATTTTTCAACTTCGTTCGTTAAATTATCTCTCTCTCTCTCTCTCTCTCTCTCTCTCGCCGCCAAAAGTGTGCTGTTTATTGTAACCTCTTTATCCGGGCACCTTTATCTTGAGTGTTTTTCTGTGACTGTTGCAGATGCGTAACCGACTCACAAACATGAATTGTATCAATGCACTGCTGATTTATTTTTCATTTCTGTCAACAAGGGATGTCCTCTTCTATTTGCTGATGACAGCGAATGGACTCAATGGGCTATGTGTGCCAAATAATCTTGATTCTGCGATTACAGCAGGCCATGTCCAATTTACCCTGAGTACTAAAACTGTAAACAAACAAAAAACAACCCCCCCCCCAAAAAAAAAAAAAACAACAACAACGTGTTCTGATAAATAATCTTGATTCTGCGATTACAGCATGCCATGTCCAATTTACCCTGAGTACTAAAACTGTAAACAAACAAAAAACAACCCCCCCCCCAAAAAAAAAAAAAAACAACAACAACGTGTTCTGAAAGGTGTGCACGAACTAGCAACACATTAAACCAGATTTTAAATGTTTTCAAACTCGGGTTGTTCAAGAACATATGTTCAGACCGCATGTATGGGAATGATTACTCAGCACTTTTGGTTTGTTGCCAATTAGTTGAACCTTTTAGCAAGCTCTTATAACAAGCGGAACAAAAATGTGGGGACGGAACACAAACGTTGCCACGTCATCAGAAGTTTGAATCATTATCGATTTCCTTAAAGAGTTAAAGCGTATGTTTGATAATGATTCAGACAAGCCGTCATATGGTCACCGCTCTAAATCAAACAGACGCTATGAACGCATGTACCAATCTACCAGCCTCGACACACACACACAAGGTTAATTTACTGCTATTTTTTTAAAAAAAATATAACGATGTTCTTTTTTCCCAGAAACTTGACCTTGGCATCCAGATAAAAATGATGACAATGACGACATCAATCTTTGTGCTCGCCACCCTCGCCGCTTCAGCAAATGCTTTTCTGGTGATGTCCTTAGGGAAATGTCCTGACATCCCCATTAAAGAGGACTTGGACCTCAACCAGGTAGGATATCATGAACGGGACTGTCACATCTACAAATCACTCACAATCGTATTCTAGTTATGATCTACAACAGGGGTCTCCAAACTTTTCAGCCCCAGGGCCGCATTAACTATCAAACAGCAGTTCGGGGCCCGACTGCATACTCGAGGTCCAAATAAAAAAGAATCAAAACATGGATGTTGTTTTTAATTAGTTATGTCTTATTATTTCATTCGGTTATTATGTAATAACACATTGATACACGACACATGAACACCTGTATTATTGGGAATGTTGAAATTGTTTCCTGCATGCCAAAATAGCAGTGATTAGCAGACATTTCTGGATTTAGATTTGATGTCCCAAACATCAACAGTGACCTGAGATTATCATCGGACAAATTTGTTCTCAAATTGTTCTTCACGTATTTCGTTCTTGAAAACGTTTCTTCACACAGGCATGTTGTTCCAAAGATTGAAAGATACGTTGATGCAAATGTTTGGAAATGAGGAAAGTCTTCCTTTGGCGAATATTAGTTAAAGACCCACCGGTCCTTCTTATAACTTGTCCCTAAGGAGGTCATTGGCTTGCAACTCAATGATCTCCAGGTGTATTTTACCTGGGCGACTGGCCACGTCTGCTTCGAATGAGTTTTGACAAAAGTCTCACGTTCTCTGCCTTTAAATCCAAGTCAGAAAACCGCTGCTGACACTGCAGCTGGGGGTCTTTGATGATTTCGCATACAAATGACGTGAGGAACTCCACTGTTGCTTCAGCCATGAAGACCATCCACTGCTGAAAGTGTTTTAAGTTGTTGGCCTGTACTTGTTCCCCCCCCCCCTCCACCAACAAAAAAAAAAAAAAAAAAAAAAAAACAAAAAAAAAAAAAAAAACAAGACGAGTTTGTATCTGAAAGCCTTTAGGTGGGCTTATAGATCAGAAACTAGATTTTCCTCTCTTTGTAGTTTTAGGTTCAGAAAATTTAAATGACTAGTTATGTCTGCAGCAAAGGCCGATTTCCATACCCACTCTTCGTCAGACAGTAATGGCCGTGGCTTGCCTTTACTTTCCAGGAAATCACCTTATTTCCATTCTTAACTTTAATACTCTGCTCAGAACTTTTTCACAACTTAGCCATCTTGTTGCTGTGTGATATGGTAAATCTTGCGATTCTGTGTCTGTATCTTTCAACAGGTCTGTGAACTGTCTATGGTTGAGCCCATGTGACCTTATTAAATTAAATCTTTTTACCACAGGATTCAGTTCACTGCTAATGTCCACATATTTAGAACACAAAGCTTTCTGCTGAATAATACAGTGCAGGAACATTGGTTGCAGCATTTTTTTCTCATTAAACATCTGCTTCACTTGTCCAACCAAGCCTTTATTTATGCCACTCATATTCTTTCCTCCATCAACAGTCAGGCAACTGAGGTTAGTCCAGTCCAAGTTTTAATCAGCAAATGTTTTTTTTCAACTCATTGAATATATCCTCTCCAGTAACATTGCCGTACATGCTATGTAGGGAAGCCATCTCTTGTGTTATGTTCATGTCTTCATCCACACCTCTAACGAACACAAGCAATTGAGAGGTGGAACAGCTGTCCAGAGATTCATTCATTGCAATGAAAAATTGGCGAAACTTGCTTGCATTGTTCGCTATTTGAGTCAAAATGTTTTCATTCATGTCTGCAGCACGGCGGTCAAATCTCCGCCACTCGATGGCGTTATACCATCTCATTGACTGTTAACGGAAGTAGAAAAAAACTAAGCAGCGAATAAGGATTAGCAAAGTAATGATCTGTTAGAAAACATAACGCACTACAGCGCGCCTCTATTTTAATTCGGTAAAAACATAACGCCCTGTAAGCGGCGTCTGATCTTGGCAAGATACACGTACATTTCCGTAATTTTTTCCGAAGATAAAAAGGTCTCCGCGGGCCGCATGAGAGGGCCCCGCGGGCCGTAGTGTGGAGACCCCTGATCTATAATAACAGGGGCGTTGTGGATCAAGTGAATAGTGGCTATACTTTATTAATTTTTATTTTATGCTAAAGCACACGATCCCTATAAAAATCATAAAAAGTTAATACTTGAACTGATCCCAAAACACTTAGAGTAAAGCTTCTCGGTGACTTCTCCAAGTGATAAAGATATCACTATACCATGACCAAATCTTACAACATAATATGGACTTAATAACCGCCATCATTTCGACTCCATCTTTGTTCTTCTTACCTTGGTTTAGTTTTTACCAAGTGCCCATACTCTATACATTACAAGTGATAGTTCTCACATTACTTAACTCCCTTGTAAATCCTTTTCTCGTATCTGTGACAGGGAAAAAGATAGTTTTTGTTCCATTTGTCTTTGTTTTTGGTGTTTTCTTTTGAAAATTCAATTTCTGGTTGTCTGCTGGCAGGATTACAAACAATGAAACGTTTGGAACCAATAAAAACAATTGGACGAGGTATCGTGTCATAGGGCTCAATGCTTACCATATTATCTGAATCCAATAATAACCTTAGCGAGGTATAGTGTCAATGGACTCAATGCTTAACATAGCTGGAGTAGACGAACAATTTTTAATCCCATGCTAAACCTCTCTAAAATTAGCTGTCCTATCATTATACACCTATATATCTACCCATACCTGTGCACACAAAAGAGGAGAGGGTTGCAGTGGGGGTGTGGGGGGGGGGTACACAGAGGAATTCAAACCTTCCATGTCTCGATCGAAGTAATAATGGGAATAAGGTTAAGTTTCACAAATTCTGAATTCAACTTGAACGAAATACCTGAATAAATTAGCCGTTATTTCAACAACTTTTCTTTCAGCATTTCTGTTTAAGATGTTAAAACTTAGGTGTTCTTTAATTATTTATTTATTGAAGAAGAGGGTAGTATTATTATCTTTTTAAACATCTTTATAAAATACTATTGACAAAGCTTCATAAGCCTCGCTCACTCTTTTGAAATGAATTGCTAGGAATTTCTTACTGGACAGTGCAATGTAGGACTGTTAAAGAATATTTGAGTAATAAACCGTTTTGTTTGATTGGTTTCTTGTCCATCCCAGTATCTCGGCAAGTGGTACAGCTACGAGAACTTTGACGCGCCCTTCCAGTTTGGACTGTCCTGCATCACGGCCAACTACTCCATCAGACCTGATGGGAACATCAAGGTGCTCAACGGTGGGGTCAAGAAGTTAAAAATGTAAGACAGATTGTTCACTGCGTTAAATTTGAAAAAAAAATGTAAGAGACATTCTGATTGTTTGAATGTACACATGTAAGGAGCATTTTGATTAGTTATGTACGAACGGATTTTGTGGTTTTGAGTAGCCGTATGAATAATTGTTGTTATTGGAATAATTTTAGGCGGGGTCACATTTAAGTAGGCCAAGGTAAAATTGAAGTTTTCTTTTTTTTTTGCATATATTTTTGGAAAATTTTATTGTTTAAAATAAATTGTTGTCTGTAATTTTATCTTTAATTCAAGCTTCCACATGCCTTGTTCTAAATGTAATTCAAACTTCCACATGCCTTGTTCTAAATTTAATTCAAACTTCCACATGCCTTGTTCTAAATTTAATTCAAACTTCCACATGCCTTGTTCTAAATTTAATTCAAGCTCCATATACCTTTATTAGCATCAGATATGTTTCAGAAATTTTCCAAATAATAGGTTATCATAAAAATCCACACAAAAATAAAGAGTTGGGGGGGGGGGGGGGGGGGGGTTTTTTTTGTGTTGGGTTTTTTTTTTTTTTTTTTTTTTTTTTTTTTTTTTTTTGCAATTAGAAACAAATTATTTTTATAATAAGAGATTTGGATTGGAAAACTTCCGCACGCATTAGAGGACTAAAAATCTGTATTTTGTAACTAACTTTAACTTACTTCATAATATTTTGAAGAATCCTTCCATCTATTGCTTAGAAATATAAATTTCGTTACAGTTCAATGTTTCTCCGTATAAAATTTTATAGAATCTGAGATAGCTTTGGGGAGGAGCTCAGAATCAACAATTGATCCAAAACCTAAAAAAAAAAAAAATTTTTTTGTTTAAAATCTCTTTTGCTTACGCTTTAAAATGTATCCTAAAGTATTCTCATCAAACGTTATATAAAATTATAACAAAATGTTATTGGATAAGGTTTTTAAGTTAAAATCTTGCCACGCTCAAATCTTAATGAGTCTGTCATGGTGTTCTTTCCTTTACAGATTTGGAAGGACTGTCATGCGGACCCCTACCAACATTGAGGGCGAGGCTCGCATAGTCAACAGCGATCGACCTGCTGGCCTCGCTGTCAAGTTTCCAGGACAGCCAGGTAGACTATCGCTTCGGGGGGGGGGGCGTAAATTTGAATCTTGTCCCCCGTGCTCCAAACACTTAAGCTACGCCCCTGCATCCAATTCCCGGAGACAATGCAAGTGTTCTAGAAACAAAAAAATTGGGGCAAAAATTGTAAAAATGCATTCCATACTATTGTATCATTGGCGCAATTTTTTTGTTTGTTTTACTATACAGTATAGTAAGTTCAAAAAGAAATTTGACGAAATGTTAACGTGTGAAATGAAACAAAGATTCGACCAAATTTCCGTTCAATCAAATTTCCGTTCAATCAAATTTCCGTTCAATCAAATTTATGTCGATCAATTTTCCGTCGACGAAATTTCTTTAAAAACAAATTTCTGTTAACTTAATTACGGAGATTGGTTTACTTAAGATTTAAATATAGAACGAAAGATTTATATATATTTTAAATATATATTATATATTATTGCTGTCAAAGAAGCATAACCCAAAATATCGTAATTGTATTTGAATTGACGGAGTTGTCTCCCATGAATACATGAAAGGCGAAGTGTCTGGGGAGACACCTCTATCACCGGCGGGTTGTGTCGTCACTATGAAAGGCTTACAACCCGGACATCACTTTTGATTGGACTCAACCACGATTTATTTCGTCTTCTTTGCCTGTCAACCCACAAGAGAACGTATGACAGAGTTTCTTTTAACTCACAGGAGAACATAAGACAATTAGAGTTTCTTTTAACTCACAGGAGAGCATATGACAGTAACAATTTCTTTCAACTCACAGGAGAACATATGACAATAACAAGTTATTTCAACTCACAGAAGAACCTATGACATTGATAATTTATTTCAACTCACAGGAGAATATGACAGTAACAATTTCTTTCAACTCACAGGAGAACATATGACAGTAACAATTTCTTTCAACTCACAGGAGAACATATGACAGTAACAATTTCTTTCAACTCACAGGAGAACATATGACAGTAACAATTTCTTTCAACTCACAGGAGAACATATAACAATAACAATTTCTTTCAACTCACAGGAGAACATATGACAGTAACAATTTCTTTCAACTCACAGGAGAACATATGACAGTAACAATTTCTTTCAACTCACAGGAGAACATATGACAGTAACAATTTCTTTCAACTCACAGGAGAACATATGACAGTAACAATTTCTTTCAACTCACAGGAGAACATATGACAGTAACAATTTCTTTCAACTCACAGGAGAACATATGACAGTAACAATTTCTTTCAACTCACAGGAGAACATATGACAGTAACAATTTCTTTCAACTCACAGGAGAACATATGACAATAACAAGTTATTTCAACTCACAGGAGAACATATGACAGTAACAATTTCTTTCAACTCACAGGAGAACATATGACAGTAACAATTTCTTTCAACTCACAGGAGAACATATGACTGTAACAATTTCTTTCAACTCACAGGAGAACATATGACAGTAACAATTTCTTTCCATGCCTTCCGCTCTCAAGCTATATTTCTTCTCTCTTTAAAAATTGTTTAATGTAACAACAATTGTGTCCAGTTAAGATATTACACTGTAGTAGCACAATGGTCTTGATGACGTGGGTGCCCCTGGCTCACGTCAGAAGTTTTCATAAATTTGCTCCATTAAACAATCAATATAAATGTTTTAAATATTTTATAAAATCGAATGAATTAAAACTTTATTTACATTTTAGTTCCCTTAAAAAAAAGAAAATATTTTCTTAATTATGAAAAGAAATGCTTGCTTTTTGATACCAAAATGTTTGAAACACTTGATTGCTTTGTATGTAAGTTAAGAATATTTTACGCAAACTAAATGTTAGCTTTGTTTAACTCGATAATCCTCTTTCGTTGGTATGTTTCCTCTGACGGGCGACACGTAAATGAGCACTGATAGACATAGACCGTGATTTTTTGTTGTTACAGATATGGGAGATAATAATAAGGCGAACTACAACATCATCAGCACAGATTATCGTACCTACAGTCTCGTCTACTCTTGTTCACAACCCACACTCCTGCCAGTCAAAGTTGGTGAGTCTCATGACTTATTAATTTTTTTGTATTGTTTCACGGATGCCCGATTTTGCTTGCAATGGTCATTTTTGGTCAAGCAATTACTTTTTTTTTCCTCCACTGAAAAAAACAACGGGGGGGGGGGGGGGTTTTTTTTAGTTAAAACAAGTCATCAGCACTAGTGAACTTACAAATTATAGGTTTCCCCCTGGGTAAATCCCAGGGTAACCCTGCTCTTCACAACTTCCTGGTTTATTAAAGGGTAAAGTAAACTCAACATTGACAGCGAATACAAGTTTATTTTTGTGATGTTTTGTATACAACTTTTTTGATGTTCTGGAGCAATACCATGTCTTACCATGCATTACCCCTTACCATGGAGCAATACCATGTCTTACCATGCATTACCCCTTACCATGGAGCGCTATCATGTCATTACTATGTAAACCCTTTACCATGGTCTACTACCATTTCATAAAATGGTTACCCACGTGACATGGTGCACTATCCTGTTATACTGTGGATAGCCAGCTGTTATGATGCACTGCCTGGTACGCTATGGTTACCCAATTATAATGGTGTACTACCCTGGCGTACAACTGGTAGCCAATTATCATGTTCACTGCCCTGGCGTACAACTGGTAGCCAATCATCATGTCTTACATGTCATCATAGAATAGCCGACTCTCCACTTATTGACACATCATTAATGCCATATTAGTAGACAAGTGAAAGGCCTATTCAACCCATAAAAGTAGACCAGTACTAAGCCTATTCAACCCATAAAAGTGGACTACTATTAAGCCTATTCAACCCATACAAGTAGACCAGTACTAGGCCTATTCAACCCATATAAGTAGACCGGTACAAGGCCTATTCAACCTATATAAGTATATCAGTACAAGGCATATTCAACCCATATAAGTAGACCAGTACAAGGCATATTCAACCCATATAAGTAGACCAGTAGAAGACCTATTCAACCCATGTAAGTAGACCAGTACTAGGCCTATTCAACCTATATAAGTAGACAAGTACTAGGCCCATTCAACCCATGTAAGTAGACCAGTACGAGGCATATTCAACCCATATAAGTAGACCAGTACTAGGCCTATTCAACCCATATGAGTAGACCAGTACTAGGCCTATTCAACCCATATAAGTAGATCAGTACTAGGCCTACTATCCTATATAATTATTATTTTAAATTGTGCGTTGTTGTTTATTATTTTGACCCTTTTGACCCAACTATTTCTTCTCTCCGTCGCAGAGTTCGTCTGGATCCTTACACGAGAAAGGGGCGTACGCCCTGACAACATCAACGCCCTTAAGACGAACTTACGGGTCTACGGAGTCAAGACGGAAAACTTTAAACCTGTTGACAACACCGAGTGTTAGTGCCTCGGGAGAAAAGTCTTTCCATGACACAGCCACCGCACACATGAGCCATTATCTTCATCAGCACATCCTGTTAGGGTTTCTTTCTAGACCGTCGATATTTTTAACAGCATAGAACTAAATAAGGGAGACGTCTTGCGTCACTTGAATACAAGTCTTGACGATGGGTAAAACTCACCAAAGTCTATCTGTTAAGTACATGTTTATACTTCCCCTCGGTACGTCCCACAAACTGCACCTATTTATATGCATATCTTTTTTTAAAATCTGTTACTTGTTTTATATTTGATCTATGCTGCCAGGCACTAGGTCCCCATACTTTGGTATCAATTTAAACGAGACTTACCTCCCTTCCCCTGCCAACCAGACCAAGGCCAAAACTGGATCTACGAGATTCTTAGTGTTCCAGGTTTGATCTTGGGGATTTAATCGTCTTATTTTAACGTTGATAGTTATAAAAAAATAAAATTAAAAAAAAAGGATCCATAATCTCTAGACTTTCAACCTTATTTTATTCAGATTGTATAATGTGTCGTCAAAGGTGTAATACTTAATAGTAAAAATAAAATTAAATTTACAGAATAAAACAGGGTGTTGTTGTTCATTTATTTTTATAACAATTGTGCGTCAGCAAATATTCAGGGCTCAAAACTGAAGGAGCAGACAGGGAAATATGAAATTGCGTCATGGACGCCATGTCAAATCTTCCTGATCATTACACCTTTTGTACTGGTTTTCACATTTAATTTAGGTGTACTGGCACCAAGAAATGGTTCGGGTTAGGCGGTCTGCCCCAGGCGCCACTTTTTCTATATACGAGGTAATACATTTGCGATCAACTACAGAGCCTTTCTTTTCAGTAATGGGGTAAGGGGGTGGGGGTCAAAAATGTCTTGTCCCCCCTCCCATATTACCCTTTGTTTATACTAATTAAAAAGCTGTTATTGGTGCATCTAGGTCTGCACTGACGGTGATAAGGTTATAATATAGTGGGGGGAGATGATAGTTTTGTAAGGTTCTATTTCTGACTGGCAGCAATTTATATCACACTTAATCTTACAAGCAGCCATTTATATCATACATATCCTTACAGGCAGCAATTTATATCACAATTATCCTTACAGGCAACCATTTATATCACACTTATCCTTACATTCAGTCATTTATAACACACTTATCCTAACAGGTAGCCATTTATATCACACTTATCCTTACATTCAGTCATTTATAACACACTTATCCTAACAGGCAGCCATTTATATCACACTTATCCTTACAGGCAGACATTTATATCACACGTATCCTTACAGCAGGCATTTATATTGCACGTATCCTTACATGTAGACATTTATATCACACTTATCCTTACATTCAGTCATTTATAACACACTTATCCTAACAGGCAGCCATTTATATCACACTTATCCTTACAGGCAGACATTTATATCACACGTATCCTTACAGCAGGCCTTTATATTGCACGTATCCTTACATGTAGACATTTATATCACACCTATCCTTACAGGCAGCCCTTTATGTCACACTTATCCTTACAGGCAGCCATTTACATCACACTTCTCCTTACTGGCAGCTGTTTACCAGGGAAATAAGTATCAACGATTTTAATATTTGTTTTTATGGCTGAATTTAAAGATTTTATGAGACATTATTATTTTATGATTGTTGCGTTCATGTGTTTTACAAACGCTTTAACATATACATTGGAATATATAGGCCTTAAAAAGTGTTATTTATTCTCTTCCAACTTTCTTGTGCTATTTGCCACAAATTATTTATTTAATATTATATCAGAAATATCTACATTTTCCAATGCAATAATCAAACTTCCTCACTGTATTTCTATTTTTAGCCTGTAGAATCCCATTTCTTACGTAATACGGGAGTCTACCCGAATTCGATTACTAAATATAGGTATGCAACACCAGATAAAGGGGATACTTGACTGACACTATCTTGACCAATAAAAGCTCCCACCAAAATAGTGTAATTACTGTCTTGTTGGTTTCATGACACACTTACTAACTTGATCAGGCAAATTTTTAAAATAATTAAATTTTTCTACCTCCTTTTCCTTTAAATTATAGATTTTCAGTATTTAATTATTACTTTTTTTTTAAATATCGCCCTCTCCATCTGGTGGACGTACAAGATTTGCTATTTTTAACACTCCTAATAGCTACCAAATGAACAGGCAGCTGAAACGATTAATACGTCACCATAATAATATTCTTCTGCTAAAAATCACTACTATCCTGCCGCAACGTCTTCTCGCATTCCTGCCCTTCCTATCTAACCGAACTTCTTTTCTGTCTAACCACCCCTTCAACAGCGTAGCTCCTCCGCAGACACGCGTATTCTTTCTGTTCCCATACACGCACAAAAACATACGGTAAATGATCTTTCTCTTTCTGCGCTCCCAAACGATGGAATTCTGTCCCACTCCGCAATATATCGATCAACCAAGCATTCAAAACTGCCCTCGAGACACACCTCTTCAAACTCTGCTGACCCGACTGATTCCAACCCCCGCTCTGGCCGATAAACGATGCTGCTGGGTGCCGTCCATGGCTTGACTTAGTTCTGGGGTGTGAGCAGTGAAGATGTATTTCTTTGTTTTTATAATGGTTTTTACAAAAATTAGATAAAAGTATATAATTTTTTAAAATGTCATCATTAAGTTTGCCAATATTTTCATGTGCAGCGCGGAGAGCCCAGGCCCTATACTGTGGTACCGCGCTATATAAGAACACTGTAATAATAATAATAATCTTAATAGCTTCAGGGTGGGTAGGCTTTAAAAGAAAGTCAATTAATCTAGAGACCCCAAAGGGCTTTCTTGAAATGGGACTCGTGTTACAAAAAAAAAAAGGTAGACTGCCATTTATTACGGGAGTCCTCGCGGATTCGATCTTTACATCCAACGAAGAAACAAACAAAAAAAGTTCACGGAACTGATTTCTCTTTCTTCTTGTGTCTTGTTTTGTTAATAGCTTCGAGGTGGGTAGATTTTAAAAGAAAGTCAATTAATCTAGAGACCCCAAAGGGCTTTCTTGAAATGGGACTCGTGTTACAAAAAAAAAAAAAGGTAGACTGCCATTTATTACGGGAGTCCTCGCGGATTCGATCTTTACATCCAACGAAGAAACAAACAAAAAAAGTTCACGGAACTGATTTCTCTTTCTTCTTGTGTCTTGTTTTGCCTAGTCTCTTGACGAAGGCTCTTAGCCGAAATTCCAATGTGAGCAGCTTTCAACAACAGAGGGATGAAACAGAGGTTGTGTTCATTGTTAACCAGAGAAAATTTTCAGAGGCGCTAGAGCGGGTTTTAGGGGGGGGGGGGGAAACACATCAAAAAAAAAAAAAAAAAAAAAAAAAAAAAAAAAAAC